TATTAATATTATATAATATTATAATAATACTATATTATTTATATCATTTTTTTAATATATTAAAAATATAATTTATATGCTTTTAATATAATTTACTATAATAGTATAATTATATTATTATTTTAATATTATATAATATTATAATAATACTATTAATTTATATATTTATATTATATAATACACAGTATCATCATATCACTATTATATATAGATCATTTTTTATATTATATTAAAAATATAATTTATATTTCTAATATAATTAAATATAATAGTATAATAATACCATTAATTTACATATATTTATATTATATTAAAAATATAATTTATACTTCTCTACTATAATTAAATATAAGAGTATAATAATACTATTAATTTATATATTTATATATTATATAATATAATATTATAATAACACTATTTATATTATATTAAAAATATAATTTATATTTCTATAATATCATTTAATATAATAGCAGGATAATAATACTATTAATTTATATATTATAGAATATAGTATTATAATAATACTATGAACTTATATATTTATATATTATATAATATAGTATTTTAGTAACACTATTATACATATATATATAAATTTTTATATTATATTAAAAATATTATTTTTATCTCTATAATATAATTTAATATAATAGCAGGATAATAATACTATTAATTTATATATTTATATTATATAATATATAGTATTATAATACTATTATATATACCATTTTTTATATTATATTAGAAATATAAATTATATATATTTAAATTTATATATAAAAAATATTATAATAATAATATATAATATAATTATATATAATAATAATAATTTATGTATATATAAATTTAATACAATAATATATGTATATATAAATATAATAATAATAATACTATTATACTATTATATTAATATTATTATTATAATTATAAATTCAATTTATTATTATTATTATATATATTATGATTTTTTAATCATTTTTAATAATTTTTAATAATTAAAAAATCTATTATTATATATAGAAATATTATTTATATTTCTAATATAATTTTCCATAAATTATTTGTCCTTTATTTATAAAAAAAAAAAGATAAAAATCCGCGTATATCAAAAAATCTTTCCAGAATGGAATTTTTTAACGTAAAGCATGAAAAAAATAAATTATTACCATGACGTAGGAAATTTCTTACAAAGCAAACATTTGAAAATTAATCTTCTTGATTTATTCATTTATTTAATTTATATTTTATTATCTTAATATAAAATAACGTAAAAAAAAATAAAAGATTTATTTTGATTTATTTCAAATTCTTCTTTTCATATTTATATTTTACTTATTTCATCCTATCAATGATTTCCATGTAATATTACACGTTAATGTTCAACTTTTATTCTTATTATTCAAATTTCTTTTTATTTCTTCTATTTTTTTTTTTTTTTTATCATTGTATGTACTCAGTTAAAAAAAACTAACCGTAAAAAATAAAAGAAAAAAAAAAGAAAAAGAAAACCATATATCAAAATTTTACTCATTTAGTTTTATTTTTTTTTTTTTTTACGATAAACACCAAATGATAAAATTTTATTGCTTTATTGCCGTTTCTTTAGTTTATTGGGCCCCATTCGATAACAATTGTGATAACATTTTTTTTTGTTTTTTATTTCCAAACTATGAATGATCGAACTGAACAAATCATTTTATCTATCAGGAAAAATTTGCTATTTGCAACAAAAAAATAAAAAAAAAATATCTTTTATTCAATTTTGTTTACTTACGATTCTTATATACACGTAGAAAGATATTATCTCGAGATATTAATAATAATAAGTAGTAATGGACGTCATTTCTTCTTTCAAAGAGTATCAAAGGATTAACTCAAAAGACAGACAGACAGACAATGTCTGAGTACAGGCTTATAACGTGTGTTCTTTTAGTTGATAATATTTCTTTTCTTTTTTTTCCTTTTCAATTTATTATTTGTTAACTATGAAAGCTTTGTGAAAAGAAAAAAAAAAAAAAAAAATTAAAAAAAAAAAAAAATAAATACTTGAACTGAATCATTCGATAAAATAAAATAAAAGAAAAGATGCGATGTGTAAAAAAGAAAAAAAGAAAAAAATCACGAAAAAGTTCAAGTCATCAATTATACGTTTTGTAATCATTTATTGAATAAAAATTAGCAACGTCGTCAAATTTGATCAGTCACATTATCGGCTAATTATTGTGTGCTACGTTTAACTTCAAGTTTATTTATCGCGTCGAAGATAATATATTAACTAATGTAAATTTAAACGAGATAATTTAACGATAAAACATATGTTTCTCTTTACATAAAGATTTTGCAATTGAATAGACGAATTTAACACAAGTACAAACGGTTAACCTGTTGTTTAATCTAAAGCTGCTTAAAGATATTTCATTTAATATTATCGCATATTTCTCCTATAATTCGGCACGTGTTGATTAATAATTATCAATCAGTAGAACAGTATATGTTTCTTTTTTTTTTCTTTTTGGTTTCATTTTCATTCACAACTCTGGCCAGAAAGGATAAGAGATCCATGTTTTCATTTGTGGTCATTCACAATTTTTTATTTGATTTCAATTTCACTCACAACCCTGACCAGAAAGGATAAGAGGCTACTTATGTTTTCATTTGTGGCCATACACAATTTTTTTTTTGGTTCCATTTTCACTCACAACCCTGGACAGAAAGGATAAGCCACCCATGTTTTCATTTGTGGTCATCCACAATTTTTTATTTGGTTTCAATTTCACTCACAATACTGGCCAGAAAGGATAAGCCACCCATGTTTTCATTTGTTGCCATACATGTTTTCATTTGTGGCCATCCACAATTTTATTTTGGTTTCAATTTCACTCACAAGCCTGGCTAGAAAGGATAAATCACTCATGTTTTCATTTGTGACCATCCACAATTTTTTATTTGGTTTCAATTTCACTCACAATACTGGCCAGAAAGGATAAGCCACCCATGTTTTCATTTGTGGCCATCCATGTTTTCATTTGTGGCCATCCACAATTTTATTTTGGTTTCAATTTCACTCACAACCCTGGATAGAAAGGATAAACCATCCATGTTTTCATTTGTGGTCATCCACTATTTTTTATTTGGTTTCAATTTCACTCACAATACTGGCCAGAAAGGATAAGCCACCCATGTTTTTATTTGTAGCCATCCATGTTTTCATTTGTGGCCATCCACAATTTTATTTTGGTTTCAATTTCACTCACAAGCCTGGCTAGAAAGGATACATCACTCATGTTTTCATTTGTGGCCATCCACAATTTTTTATTTGGTTTCAATTTCCCTCACAATACTGGCCAGAAAGGATGAACCACCCATGTTTTTATTTGTGGCCATCCACAATTTTTTATTTTGTTTTATTATCACGCACAGCCCTGGCCACAAAAGATAAGAAGCTACCCATGTTTTCATTTGTGGCCATCCACAATTTTTTTTCGTTTTAATTTCACTCACAACCCTGGCCACAAAAGATAATAGGCCACCCATGTTTTCATTTGTGGCTATCCACAATTTTTTATTTGGTTTCAATTTCACTCACAATCCTGGCCAGAAAGGATAAGAGGCCCCACCCATGTTTTCATTTGTCTCCATCCACAATTTTATTTTGGTTTCAATTTCATTCACAACCCTGACCAGAAAGGATGACCATCCATGTTTTCATTTGTGGCCATCCACAATTTTTTATTTGGTTTCAATTTCCCTCACAATACTGGCCAGAAAGGATGAACCACCCATGTTTTTATTTGTGGCCATCCACAATTTTTTATTTGGTTTCATTATCACGCACA